CCTCGTTTTGCTGCTGGGAGTGTGTCTGATGGTTGATACATAGTATGCCCATCCTGCTCTCTGCTTGGCTCCATGTTGCTTGGCTGTGGCTCGGGTGTGTCACGTGCTGCTGTTGCGTCTTTTGGAGTTTGTTCCTCGAGTTTATTGCAAGTTTCCGCCAAGTATGTTCCAAGTATCGGGGAGCACAATGGAGTAGCGGATGGCGAATGCAAGTGCAGTGCAAATGGTGCTAGAGGTGCAGAAGAATTGCTGCGAGGGGCTGCACACGGTGGCGGTGCTGAGATCTTCCACAGGGTTGCCGTTCGACCGTGTTCGAGCCCATGAGACCCCCTAATATCGGTTGCAGTGCGCACAAAGCCTGTAAAGTACTGCTCCACTTAATGTAAAACAACACAAACACACCGGTACACTTTGTTCCAGATCTCCACCACCCATCGCTTTGTGACAAGGCCCCCTCACCACTCCATACCGGCAGCCACAGGACCAGACGACGTATACACACCACCCTGATGTCCCTAAAGCAAGTCCATGATTCTTGAAGTCTCCACACGCACGCTGTCCCTCGCTATAAGTCTCCATCATCGGCCGCCATGTACAGATCTGCAAATAAAGTATCAAATGTTTGCTTCTTAACCGATTCTCAGAATAGAAACTGATAAATTGGATTGCTTGCAGGCGCTCATTTGTTTATTTGTCAAATAGCGAGTTCTAACAACATTAGATTACATTTGACTACTGGTTCAGCAATCTGTATTTGCCATTGCAGTTTTGTTTCTTTCTCTCGTTGCCCAGCAAACATAACGCTAAACACGAAGCTCGAGCTTAGATGCAGGTGTATCGGTGGATGGTATTTCTTGCATCTTGCTCAAATGTAGCCATTTCGACGCGTCCTTGGATGGAGACGATGACCGAGCCAGCAGTGTTTCCTGCCTTGGCAAGAGCAAAAACGCTCTTTCTACTTCGGAATCGATCCACAAACGTCACGAGCGAGAAGCCACAGTGTATCATCAAGCTCAATGTGTTTTGAGTTTCAGCTACCTAAAGGAAATACGAGTTCGCCCACAAGAACCACATCGTGGTGCTGGACGCGTCGATACACTTCTACTTCTGCTCGGATTTTGATAAGCACTTCCGGCTCATTGACAACGACTTGTCGATTCTGAATACGTCGGTAAGACGGAGTACCAACGTGAATCTCTAGCTCCTGTTGGGTTTGAAAGTAAACGTTAATGGGGTACCTCCCGTAAATCAGGAGGAAGTACGGGTTTGTCGTGTTCGACCACGCGTTAGTGTCCGGTTAACATCTAAAATCTCAACTGTAAAGCAACCATCGACGAGTCCGAAGGCACTTAGTCGAGCTGCTATGCTAGCACATCAAGCGATAAAGGCGTGTGTTCTTCAGTCATATGCTCGGTCTTACCTTTATCAGTGCTTGTACCGTGGAGGTCCCAGCCAACTCGTCGCTGCCGGTCAACTGGCCACTCGACGTCGTTGAGCACACGCATTTCGTCACCGGCGACAAATTGTTACTCAGCTGCGACTTCGCTGTGATCGAGCTCAACAACGTATCAAACGCTGTGCTGCCTCTTGGGCCCATTCCAGAGCTGTTCAAATCGTCGATACCGAAGGTAAATACGCCATGGGCGTTCAGGTTGCAAGCAGCTTCCACATCCTAAAATTGTAGAATTTGAACAAAAATTCAGAATTAATCAACTGCTGGATCCGGTGACTCCATCAAACTATCGAACACAATTGTCACAACCTCGTTTCTATCAGCTAATGAATTGCATAATGAATTGTGGAATGAATTGCAAGGATTATTGGGCTCAGAGAAGGAAATCTGGCATTCCACAAAAAGAAACACGATGGTGAAGCTGGTCTGCGCGGTGGGAGCGTCTTCTCTGTGGACATTGAGCTCAGCGAGATGGTCAGTGATCTGAAGGAGAAGATCAAGGAGAAGAAGCCCGGTTTGATCTACTTTGATGCAGATCTGCTGAAGCTGTATCTCGCGCGGGAGGGTGACACTTGGCTGTACTCGCGAGGCGCAGACATTAAGGCGGTTAAGGCGAAAAAAATTCCAGATCGAATTAAAAACCTCATGCAAGAGCACTTGCTACTGGGACGAGGCGTGCAGACTCACAATGATGAATACTTTCGGTGACACCTCGAGCAAGTAGACAGAGACATCCCATGTGCTTGGTGGACTGTCCGGGATGAGCCCGGATCCGAGTCATCCAAGTA